TCATAAGCAAAGTAGTAAACATTGTATAAAGATACATAAAGTGAAAACTGGATACAAAATCCACAATCAATTACAAATTAAATTACAATTTCAAGAATCTGCAAATAAGGTGGTCTGTCCTCATGAGCAATGTAAACAACATTGTATCATTTAGATACCGAAAGTACAATATATTGAACACTGTGCTGCTGTCATTTCCCCCTAATGATAACCTGAGATGGTGAATTATAACTCACAATGAAAATTGTTCAGGAAAGTGGGTATAGAGTAGACATGTAGAACTAGATAAGCTTATGATAAGCCAGCCTTGTCTACTTATTAAGGAAAAGTGGGAGGTTCTTTTTAATGAACAGTAGCTTCTCTGCTTTATCAGCCATAAGTCTGTTCCTCTTCTCATCAAGCACATGAGAGGCAGCGCTGAACAGTCTCTCGCTGTCAATGCTTGTGATTTGATCTTACTCCGCATATTTGTCCGGGTGTTTTGATTTCAAGTGGTGGAGTAATCCCGAAGTGGTGAAAGTCTTTGCAGTTACACCCCCTCGAGAAATGTCAGCTGAACACGTTTTACAATCGCAATCCGCGCCTCTTTCTCTGATATTTTAAATATCTCCAAGCGGCAGACATGTTGGCTGTGACCCAGCCGCGAGCATGGTCGCGCGCCGTGCTTATCGCCGCGTTTTGATTACGTCATCACAACAACACGTTGGCTTACCAACGTAACACTGTTCTCTGACATTCGGTGATATTTTTTCGGTGCTAGAACCCTTTCGGCCGAAAGCCGAAAGGGCCTTTTTAACAATTTTCGGCCGATAATTTTCGGTGGCCGAATATTCGGTGCATCCCTAGAAAATAGTACCATATTCTGACATGCCTGTAAAAATGTTGGGTCAAAAATAATGCATACAATAGCACAGATGCCTTCACCACGAATGGCTANGTGTGCCTTGGCAGTCTCAGCAACGAGCTGATGTTGCAGCTGAAATGTTCTCCAGGTCACAAAGTCAACCTCACATGATGATGTGATACCAGCTTTCAAGCACAGTAAATATTCTCTTCCCAGCGTATATGATGGGACCAAGGTGATGATGTAGTAGGCTACATGGTTTTAATAATACTTTTGCCTTTCAATATTTGCCATTTCAAACCATGATCATGGTTTAAATAATATTTGCCTTGATTTACAATATGTTAACCTTCATTA